CTATGTATTTCGGAGGATCCAAGTGTAAAAATGCAAACACTTTTTTTGTCATCGGTGCGCCTGAGTCGCATTTATCTCTTCAATGATTAGATTAAGTTTTTTATTTTTTCTCTTTGTGGTCGATACAATATCGATTGAAGTTTGCCGTTTTAAAAACAACAGAGATTCTTTTTCATAGAGCAGTTTCAATGACCGTTACGTATGCTGTGCGACCAATTTATGCAAATATATAGTTAGACACTAATCTAAATTAAAGAATAGTGAGATCTTCAAACAGAATTGTTGACGTATTTAATGTTGATTTGTTGACCACTAAACATTCTTATCATTTCCAATACCTCTGTGTGTTATGGTCGTGCGGCTGATTTCGAATCCGTCACGTCCATCTAAACCTTGATTATCGTCATTATGCGTTATGCAGATGGGACGTCATAATTAATGTTCAGCGAATTTTTGGTCATTATGAATTATTAAATTTGGTTTCACATTTTTTACTACTCTAATTTTAAACTACTACAGCGTCCTATTTTTTTTTAAATTCAAATGAAACGAAAGAATGTTTTATCATGTGTTTAACTCACTTGCATAAAATAATCCTATTAATTAATTAATTTTTATTTCGGTTTTCAATTCTAAAGGCGATCTTATCTATTAATTATTTGCCTTAAAATAGACATAATTATAATGTCAAGATTTTAGATAATTTCATAGACTAAGCTATTTTTTAATTTTTTAAATATTTACTTCTTAAAATCTTCTTAAATGATAGCGTGTAACTTCAATAAAACACTTTTTTATTACGTGATAATCGCAAGTAATTAAAGTTAAAAGTAATTTTAAGCAGGTGAATTAGGTCTCCTTTTAAAAATTTGGTTCTGAATTTATCAGCGTAAGGATACATCAAACTAGAAAAATTTTACTGATTAGTTATTTAAGTTTTTTTTAAATTATTTATTTATTTATTGAATAATATAACATTCTGTCACTTGGGCAATGTTTACAGGGAGGTAAGATCACATTAACATTATATGCACAAAAAATAAACATAAGCAAAATAACAACAAAATAATAATCAAAAAGTATATAAAAACTTTTTTTTTGGTCGATTCTTTAATGAGAATAGTAATAGTAATAGAAGAGTATCTCGTTCACAATATATGTACAATAAATAAAAAAATAAACAAATAATATTAAAGTAAATGTATTTAAAATAAAAGAAATTGAACTAAAAAACAGAAACTAAACTAATTAAAATAAATACTAAAATACACAAATATATACAATAAATAAAATAAAATAACTTGAATATGAGTAAACTGGAAAAACAACGAAAACACATACATACCTATATAAACTATAACTCTATTTTTATTTTATAATCTTCCAATACTTAACTAATTATTTTTTGTTTTCGTTTGTTGTTCTCAATAATTAGTTTTATAAAACAAACATTATATTCAAGGCCTTATTTATAGCTTATAATAAGATCTTATTGGCATAGTCCTTCATGATAATATTTTTGAAATTGTTTGAATTTAAAATTTTCTATAGTTCTTAAAATCATTCTTTAGGATATTAAGAAATTTCGACATAAATTTTGGTTACTATATGTATTATATAGGTATATATAATTGTCCGGAAAAAGTAAGTCTTGCAAAATATGATCTTAATTCTACTTATGTACTCTCTGAACTCTATGATAAGTATCCTTAACTGTGACAAATTGTAATATTTCTCAATAAAGTGTTTAAAAAAAAATTCTACTTGGTGTAAGGACATCAATAACAAAAATGTACTCTATGAAGAAAAATTAAAAATTTATAGCGGTGGTTAGTTATGCTGGGCAGGGGCTTTGTGTTTCGAACCCTACAAGATCTTAGAAAAAAATCGAAGACACTTTGTAAAAAAAGTGTTGCTCCTCTCAAGCTGTGCACCGTTATATTATATTTTAATACACGAAACAGGCCTTGCCTAGATAGGTACAGATGTACTCTTACAGGCTGAAAATACTATTTGACAACATTTCTTAAAGTTCTGGGGATTCTTGAATTCCTCTTAGCCGATATCCTAATGAAAGAGATGATGACAAAGAAACTTTATTGACAACTATAGGATTCGAGGAATGTTATAAAATTTATCAAAAAGCTGCAAATGACGCTGATCCTACCTGAAAATTGACCGTTCATAGACATAGGGTAAAGGACTACGAAAAATAAATTAATTTTGGAAAACATCTTCATTCTTGTTTTTCCAGCAAGCCAGCCTTATGTTCGGTTGATTCTCTAACTTCTAAACGTATGTTTTAATTTATATATTTTGAATTATAAATAAACACATTTGCATTTGTATATTCCTAGACACATTTCTCTATCTAATTATCAACAGCCATCTCCTCTACTATACCTATGATTTTCACCAATTCAAGTCCTCTGTCCAATCTCTCACCACAAGATCCCGACCATCTGAACTTTATATTCCATTTCACAGATCTGCCTCTTTTCAAAACTCTTTCGTAGTCCGCTCTGCATCTTTCTTTAATTCCATACCTTTAAAAATCCGGCATGCACCGTCACTATCTTTAAAACCCTCCTATTCCAAATTATTTTCTCGCAACAGTCAGAAAACGGCTAACCACATGTTAAGTAATAATGTCAAAAACAGTATTTTTTATTTATTTTTGTGTACATATTACTTATGATCTTTTATATATACATATATATATTATCAAACCACCTTTATTTTGATAACAAGGTTTATATTATATATATTTGGGTATAAATGTATGTGTATTTTAATAAGAATTAAAATTCTTTTCTATTCGCAGGAGATTTGTTGATCATTTATTAGAGAACCAAATTTTTTATTCTACTATTTTTTTTTGTTAGTTGGTTGTTAGATAGTAAATGAGTAAAACCTCTTGGTCATCTACTTCTTTAATTAAAATTATATCTTCTGGTGAATAATAAGAATAAAATTTAATTAAAAAGGCGTAAGGTTAAAGTTATTTACGGTTATTAAACCTTAGTTACTTAAAGTTAGTTCGTTAAATAAAAAGAAAAAAATATATTAAACATTAAATTTAAAAAAAAAAAGGTAAAATAAAAAATAAAAAAAAGGTGGTCAATTTAAGAGATTTTTAAAGATTCCTTCTTTAGAGGGAAAACATTCTCAAGATTTTTTCATCATTTCCCAAAGCAGCCGATGTATTCGGTGGTATTCCTCTGTTGTTTAATTATCTGATGTAAAAGACACAACTCTCGAAGATATGGGCCACTGTCATTCTTCCTCCACACTTCTGACAAATGGGTGCGTTTTCTTGTGTAATTAAGTGAAGGTGCGTAAGGCTGGTATGACCTATTCTTAGTCGCATAAGGACAACTTCCTCTCTGAGTTTAATGTGACTAGACCATCATACGCTCTATGGTTTCACTTCATTTTTTATCACTTTTAATTTATTTGCAGGTCTGTTGTCCAACAGTGTCTGTCAATCGTGGCGTATGGCCTCTTCCAGGGGTCGCGCCAGTTCTGATGCACCATGTTCTGGAAGGGATAGAGCTTTTTTTTCTGCTCTGTCAGCCATTTCATTTCCACCAATGCCTACATGACCGAGAGACCATAAAAAATGTACTAATGTTCCAATGTTACATCGTTGTTTTATGATCCCCAAAATATTATGTATTCCTAGGTGGTCTACGAGGTCTGGACACATGTTGTTCATGGTTGGAGGGAACTCAAAGAATCGGATACCACAACCACATCAGCAACTGGCGAGTTTATCACATGTCGTAGAGCCATCCCGATAGCATTAATCCCAGCAGTATATACGGAACAAAGTGTATGTAGTTTACATTTAAAGGTTGCATTAGGAGTAACGAAGGCAGATGCTGTTGATGTGTCCGATATGGAACCATTGGTGAATATTAGTAAGTGAATATTTTATTTATCAAGGTTGGAGAGCTGCAGATTCAATTTAGACTGTATACAAAAATCCAAGGGGGCATTTAGGATTATATTTAAGTTGATCGGTTTCAACTTATGTATTGCAAACTTCATCCTTTCTGGTAATGGCAGTGTTGCAACGTTGTTTTTTTTGTTGGAATTTTGTCTCTTGTGTTTATTATATTCTTTCTGTGTTATAACAATGTACGGACGCGAGCAAAGTTACTCGAATTTTATTAAAGCTTTTTAGTTTAAAGTACATTGTGCCCTACGGTCATAACTAAATGAGCAACATTGTCGCCGCGAAGACAGTTCGACATCATAGAATCCACAAAAATATGAATCCATCAAAATTAAGGAAACCAAAAGGCTCAGTCACCACACAGCTTAAGGCTATGTTCAGGAACGCTGGTGGCCTAACTGGTGACAAATTCACAGAATGGAACACGATTATTACAAAAGAGGATACTGATTTATATGGGATCGTAGAAGCCGACTCATCCACTGAAAATATCCAGTTCTACCAATAACCGAGATATCAAACTTATAAACTGCAGAGATCCAGGCAGGTTGTATCAGGAATAATTGTCGCTGCTAAATCATTCCTCAAGGTAACCTTTTCAATTAAAAAGAAGATGGAAAAGAATGATAAAGTGGAGGCTGTACAGTTAGATGTATGGAAAAGAATTCATGGCGGAGTTGTATTGGGCTGCCAGGAGCCAAATGGCCTAATAGCCAACGGCAGAGGCGTTTAATAAAAAAAATAAAAAAAATAAATAAAAATATATTCTTTCTTTTTTTTTTAGCTACGCAGCGATTATATGGTTTCATAATACTTTGTTTGATTTCTTATTTGCATTGTACATAGTAGTAGTATTTTGTAAATAGTGCCATTGGTTTGATTTTGTATATATATACTTTAAACATTTTATCCAGCTATTTTTTAATGTAACAATATTTATGGTCAGGTGTTATTCTTTTTTATTCTGTAATATTCTGTTATTCTTAAGGTACTTACTCCCAGAATAAAGTTATTTTCTATTCTATTGTATAAATTCTAGACGATATCTTCTGGAGCGAAAGAACTGATTAGGAGCATGTTAGAACCTAACCAGGACATCCGACCGCTAGCAGAGGTCCTCCTCAACGTTCCCTGGATGAAGGAGGACGAGCTCCTGCTAAAGTTGGTCCCAGATCCCCTCCACCCGTCGCCCAGCAACCAGAAAGAGATCTCCTACGAGCAAGAGGGGACATACACGAAGATGAAGCAGCTCAGCCGGAGCAGCTACCAGCAGAATTCTGCCATTAATCCCTACGGTACCAAGAGTTGACGAGCAAGTTATGCATGATTCTGATATGGGATATTTTAATTCTGTACACTTTTATTTAAAAATAATTTTAAATATATATTTGGAATTGTAGTGTTTTATTTTCATATTTTTCTTTGTTAAGAGAAGAAGGATCTAATTTGATTTAATTAAAATTAATCCTGCTTAGTTAGCATTGATCATCATCTGAACCTTACTTCTACACCATCCATTATTGTACATTATGCATATAATTACTTTACTTATTCAATGTAATTACTAATTTTTCTTTTATATTTTAACTTGCTGATGGGTCATTCCAAGCCAGATCTTCCAGGGGGCGTATTCGACCCCCTCAGATCTTAATAAAAACTGGTAAATATTAAGTAAAAATGCCTAATTTTAGCCAATTTTAACGATTAGTTTCAGAATTATGTGGATTTAAACTTTTGAAATATTTGAAGTTGAGAAGACATTTCGGGCACAAAATTAGCATTTACCCGTTTGTTTTTCATTTTTAAAACCAAAATTCATTGACCAAGAGGTTTCGAAATTTATTTATTTGTCGCAAATTAAATACCAGATCTGCTGACGCCATAAGTTTCAGCATTATAATTTTTCATCATGAATGAAAAAATTCGTAAACATAAATTTTCAAAGTAATGATAAAAATATCGAAAATTATCTGTAGCTAAAATCTCATTCCACATACCCCAATATAACCACATATTAATGAAAACAGCATAAAATTAAATACCAAATGTAAATATAATATTAGTGGGTTTTTGAGTTTGAAGAGTTTTATTAAATTTTAAGCCCAATACAGTAAAGGTGAATTACCATTTACAAATACGAATAAAAATTGCTTAAATCTATCTAAAAAAATATCCTAATATAACCATATATCACTGAAAAGAGTATGAATTTTTTTTATCAGATTATAAACAATATTTGTGGAATTTGGATTTATAAGAGATTTATCATGATTAAAATAAAACATCTTTTTGAGGGATGCGGTAATGGTGTTCTTATCGATATCGAAAAATACCTGTAGCTAAAATATCTCTCCAAACACCCCGATAACTTTAGCTCCTCTAGGTAGCCTTGAATTATTAGAGCTTTTTCGGGGGGGTGGGGGAGGGTGGGGAGGAAGAATAGGGATATTTAGGCATTTTATAACCATTTCGTTCCTAAATCGATAAAGAAATTTCGTTTCAGGAGAATTAATGCAACAATACAGTGTAAATATTTGTATTGGAGTAATCCGAATAACATAATTGTGGATTTTTCTTGAGTTACAGGATTAAGTGTAGAGAAGCGGAACTAATTAAAAAAATATTGATTTTGATAGCACCTAATTTACTTTTCTAAATGGCTTGCTAAAAACTAAATGGCATATTTGCTATGTTTTATTAACAACAGGTGTTAACATAAATATAAATTAAAAAAAAAAACCTTCCGAAACTTTATTTTGTTATAACTATGTTAGAATGTGAAAAAAAAAACATTTGAAGTCCTGATTCTGAGACTTATTTTTATCATTCATTTCAGCAGTTCTTGCTAATAGAGAAAGACAATAATGTATTTATTTAAACAAACTAACTTTGGCAAGTAGGTGATAAGTGTTTGAAAGTTACCTCACTACAGGACAATCATTAACAGGGATGATCCATATACCTGTAAAAGAAAAGAAAACTGTTATACATGAAAATAATTCAGCAAACAAGTGGAAAGCTAAAAATAAATTAAATTTAATTAAAGAAATTTTTATTTATTTTTTTATTAATTTGACTATTCTATCTTAAATTTCTTTAGCAGAGATGAAACTTATTTCGAAACGTACACAGTTCAGAGTTTAAAATTCTTATTTGCTTATGTCTCAACCTATGTTTTATAAACTTATTTATTTTCTTTCAGAGAATGATCCGATAACTAAACTTCTAACCATTACTCCATGAAGGATTAAGAGGAGATGGTTGATTGATATATTGTTATAAAAACTAAAGAAATTAAAGTTTGATTATTTTTAAATCAAAAATGGACCATTTATACTGAAGGGTTTTACACTAATGCGTTTATGTCTATGATATTGAAATTAGTATATATTGAAGTACTCAGCAGCAATAATATATTCTTCATTATTGCCACTTTGTACTTCAATATTCCTTTCAATATCATGTACATAAATACATTAGTGTACACTATCCAGTATAAATGTTTCATTTTTTATTCAAAACAATTTAATATTAGAGGCAAGGCTACATGTATATTAAAATATAATATTGGACATTTTAATTTAAATAATCAAATATCTATTTAAAACAATTAATATCAATTAATTAATTAATTAATATTAAATATTAAAATGCTAAATTAATTAATATTAAATATTAAAATGTTAAATTAATTAATATTAAATATTAAAATGTTAAATTAATTAATATTAATTAAATAAAATTATTGTTGCTTTGCGAAAATGAATTTAAAAAAATAGGAAGTAAAATCACCTTGATTTTGATAACTTTGATGATAAAAATTTAGTTTAGTACCCCTTCCAATCAGATTCTGGACGAGAGGTGAATATAAAGGAAAGGCGTTTGGCGAATTCCTCGGTTTTATCTTCGTCAGACGCTGCCCAAGAGTCATCACCTTGACAGGGAGGATGTGAAACATGATCAGATTTCAGAATTTTTTTTGTGATCATCCACAATTGAGGAGATAGGGGAGTAAGGTGGGAGTTGGAGGATTGGGGTCTGAATGTGGCTACTTCCTGCTTCAATATTTTACAGCAATAATTATAGGATTTATGATTGGTAGGATGTCTAGTATGTTACAAATATAAAAAATTAAACAATAACTTATAATATTTACTAATATAAAACCTTAATTAATAAATAAATAATTCTATGTATATATACTTTTTCATTCAATCTTTTCATTTTCTATCTATTACCATACATGTGGTGTTGAATTAACTGGTTATAAAATTTTTATTTCGAGCCAAGAATATTATGAACTAATAACCAAAAAGAAACCATAATATTTGAAATATATTTTTTTTTTATTACTGGAGAGAAAAAATATCTAATCAAACTTTATATGTGGTCAAGTTATTCAGGCTTCATGCTCTAATTTAAAAAAAAAATGTAAAATGATGACCTATTATTAAATATATTTTATTTCTAATTTTTAATTTTAATAGTTTATAACTGTCATTACTCTCCTAATGAGATTTGATATAAGTTGTAATTTATGGATAGAACAAATACAAATATAATATGACATCTACAGAGCACAAAATAATTTAATGAAAATTTTGTTTTTTTTCGTGGGAAAAAACATGGTTATCCTTTTCTCTATTCCAGGCCATTTTCCGGTTAGTGTGGACGCCCACAGCCGTTACGAGGTCCCCCTCACGAACTGAAGATGGTACCCTTGGGGGCTATAACTCCTGCCTTGAGAACAAGAGGACACAAACATCCATAATGAGCTTGTACAAGAAATGGGGGCTTGGATGGCAACGAAAAATAAAGGGAACGCGTTCAACAATATTCCATGACATCCACTGCAACTTTAGATTTTATAAAAGAAACTGTTTTATTAAAATATATAAGTTTTTATATTTGCATTTTACTTTAAAAAAATTATATCGAAAATCACCCTTCGTTAAATATCAAATTGGAATGCAATTTTCTGTTTCGTGCTAATAATATAAATAGAAAATAATTATCCAACACACGAACAAAATAAACTTATTTTTATTAATAAGGTTGGGGAAAGAAATAATACCGTAAAGAGAACTACGAATTTACTTCCTATAACCTTTCCACTCAAATTTCTACTAATTTATTGCTGGCTTAAATTATCTTACTTCAATTCGCTCAGAGAAAAACATAGATGAATACATTGGATATAATATTAAAAGATAAGACAATTCAGATATCTTAAGGTCAGGACATTAAAGGGGTGATTTTTCAAATAAAATAGCGGTGGACTGATTACGACGTACGAATGGCTGATGAAAGAAGAACGAGGCAAGTAAAGGAATGGTAACCACTATATGCAAAAAAATAAGACGAGGAAGACAATTGATGAGATGAAGAGACGACATGACAAAGGGAGCAGACATAGAATGGATTAGGAAAACCGATTCAAGAGAAGATTGGCAAAAACTTGGGGGGTAAGGGAGGGGGAGAGACTTTGTTCAATACTGGACTTAATTCAGAAACTGCCATTTTCATTTTTTTTTTTCAATTTTTTTTTTTTTTTTGTCAAAGTATTTATACTCCGTTTTAATAAATTTAAAACCAAGAAAAGTATTATTTTTATATTTTTACGAATAATGGCTTTATTTATTAATTAATTTATCAAAGATAATATAAGAAAAGTGTATTTATATTTTTTTTCTATAATTCTATACGTATATTTTCATACAAAAAAAAAATGAAGAAAACATATAACTTTACCATTGTATGTAATGGTTATTCCAAGCTCTTCTGAGAATAATGGTAAATTATTTATTTATTTTTTTGACGACATTCTCTCTCCTCCCACTTCCTCCTCCACTCTTATAATTATTAAGTGGTGTGTTTTTAAATTACATCATAATCCAAAATTTTTATTTAACGAATCAGTATTGCATTTTATGGATATTAACCGTTCAGGTTTTATAATCTGGTATATTTTGTAAATTTTAAACACAAATCAAAATCAACAATGTCATAATATTAGCTAAAAATCGTTCAATTTAATCATTTAAAACATTGTTTAGTGAATATTCTATTTTCTAGTTTTTCTTGAAAAGCAATCATGATTCGAAAAAAAGATTGTTTACCACACTCTTTGCTTACAATTATTGATGAACGATTTAAATATCTAATGTTATAGATAAAAAAAATGTTAATTGTTATTTTTAGTTTCTTTGAGAGAAACTAATACTATAGGACAATATTAGAATTGTTAAGATAATAAGTAAATTGTTAAGATTTCGTAACTGTGCCAATATATAACACAACCACTCCTCGACATGATAATAAGAAAATATGCAAAGAAAAAAGATTGACATTTTTGAAATTTAAATAACATTCTGGCTTCATTCACCCCAGAGAGAGAAACACTTTAT